TTAATATTAATTTATTTAATAGTCTATGCCATTTCATGTTAATTATATATGTGGTATTGTTATAATTTTTATTTTGTTTTTATGTAAGTTTTTATTAATCATATACTAATAATTAGTAATAATAGTGTTTAGTGGAAATTAATTGACTTAATTTCAAAGATAAATAATTTTAATTTTAATAATAATTGAATTTAGTTGAAATAAATTTAATTTTACTGGTAGATTGACCATAAACATAAAAGTATAAGAGTAAAATGGAAAAGTAAAGACATTAGGATAAATGAGGGTATATTGGACTTAAAACTAAATATGTAAGGATACAATTGGTAATCAAGAGTTTCTCCTCAATCCACACTTTTAATATATTGTAGATATATATATTTCTTATTTTAAATACGAGTCAATAAGTTTTTATGCCTCCCTGACGTGTTTTTTGGGTGAAAAATGTCATTAAAGATAAGATGCGCTAATTAATAGAATGTTAATAATAAAAGTGTGAAAAAGGTTGAGAACGTATGCGCAAAAACGAGTAAAGATATGTTTTGAATATAATTACTAGATTTATAGTCTTATGATGTTATGCAACGTGGTATTGGTGCCTCTTTAGCTCTGCACTTAGTGAACTAGATTAATGGGTGTCGGAAGGAGACGAGTTAATTGTTTCAATAGTCACTAAACTTACGTCCATGTCTTTAATTGCCCACTGATATTTAAAATGTCGAGTTTTGGTTATTGAACTCAGGTCCATATCTTTGATTGGCCACTGAACTTTAAAGTGTCGAGTTTTGGTCATTGAATTTAAGTTCATGTCTTTGATTGCTCACTGAAATTTAAAATATCGAGTTTTGGCCACCGAACTTTGAAAAATGTTATACATTACTCACTGAACTTTGAAAAATATTATACATTACTCACTGAACTTTGAAAAATGTTGTACATTATTCACTCTAAACTCGATATTTTTCAGAGTTCAACAATTATGCTAATGAATAATGTACGGTATATTCCAAAGTTCAGTGGCCAAAACTCGACATTTTAAATTTCAGTGAGCAATCGAAGATATGGACCTAGGTTCAGTGATCAAAACTCAACATTTTTCAAAATTCAGTGGCCAAAACTTGACATTTTAAAGTTTAGTGGCCAATCAAAGACATGGACCTAAGTTCAGTGACCAAAACTCGACATTTTTCAAAGTTCAGTAGTCAAAACTTGACATTTTAAAGTTCAATGGCCAATAAAAAATATGGACTTAAGTTTAGTGAACATTGGAACAATTAACTCAAAGGAGACGTGGATCGAATCCCCACCTCGTCCTCGTGCTTGTCCCATCTTCGCTTAATCGGGTCATGGCAAGGACGAAAAGCTCCGAAATCTCATTTGTGGCTCATTTAAAATTTTTTTATTTTAAATATTTATTTAATTATACATTGTTAATAGTATAAATTAACTATATTATAATTATATCATAGTTATAAATTATTTGTAAACTTGAAAAGAAATATTTAAAGCTATATTATACACTAATTTTTTTTGGCTCAAATTTGTTGGCTATCATGACTGTTTAAAACTAATATTAGAATTATGAATCCCAATAAGAAACAGAGAAATTATAGAAACTCATTATCATAAGGAACTTAAGATTTTACTTATGATTTTCAATGATCCCTCAATGAAGGAAGAGAGCTCCTTTTATAGGAAAAGAGTCTCCTAAATGACACAATCATATGGACTAGTACAATAATTAGACAAACGAACAAACAACTTTAAAAACATACATGACCCGAGTACAATCATTACACTAGTGGACACACAACTTTTAACCAGATCTGATCGTTATTTGTGGGCTAGAGTACCTGAAGTGCATTTTGATTTGCAATAATTGTACTCGAGTCTTATGTTTTGTCTAATTATGTACTAATCTATGTGATTGTGTAAGTTAGGGGACTCTTTCCCTATAAAAGGAACTCTCCTCCTTCATTGACGGATCATAGAAAATCAGAATTAAAATCTTTGGTGATCATGAGTTTATAAATTTTCTCCGTTTCTCATTGGAATCCAAAATTCGAATATTAGTTTTAAACAATCATGAAAGCCAACGTATTTGGGCATTAAGTCTGCTATGCTATTAACTCTTTTGAGGATCCTTAAAATAAAAAATTGTGCTGCAGACTAAAATGATTGGCCAGAAAGATTTACAATCCTAAGAGTCAGGCCTTGTATTTGTATGCTTTAATTGTGGGGGCGTGGCCTTCACGGCTATTTTTTGAATTTAATTGTTTTATCATGAAAAATATTTAGAGGTTCACTTTATATGCCTTCAAATTTTGTCATGTTTTCATATTTAATTATACGAGCTAAACCACTCAAATTGATTATTAAGTTGTATTCTGGTAGTGCTCTTTAACTTCTTGTTTTGAACTCACCATTTAACGATTTTAGATTTAAAAGATACGTAGTAAAAAGTGTAGCTCGAAAATATTGTCCCTGTTTGGTGGGAATTAAAATTAGATTTTTAGTAGATTTTGATAAAAAAAATTGAAAAAAGTTATGAGAACCATGAAATATGTGGTTAAAATTGATTGTTTGACTTTGACTTAAATTAAAATCTGATTTAAATAAATACCGAACATGGCCATTAAAAGGTAGTTAAGATGGCAAGAACTCGCTCGAACTTAATGACACGAGTCCTATGAAGGTTTGAGGTTTCTTTTAAAATGCATCGTTCACATTGACGTCATTAAGAATTTCTCTTCCAACTCGTCCAAGACTGGGCCTTATGGCAAAAAATAGCTTATGCACTTCCACTTGTGTGCAATTTAACATTCATCATTAACTTCCCTTTTTATTTTTTATTTTTTGCTTGTGAATGAACATATCCAACATATGACGTTTTGGATTTGAGCAAAATAGCCATCCAAATGAAATATATTAAAAAATGGAGAAATTTCTTGATCAACATTTTCTCCACTGCATCTTTTACACAAAACTTTCTTCAAATTGAAATTTTGAAAAGTATGTATAATTTACATGCATATATGCCATTGTGTGGGCTGGTGATGATAAAACTAATGGTCGTCAACTCGTACGAATTCAATAGTTATGCGTGAGACCATTGTATTGATGATGCTTTTGGGCGTTATGATTAAGCGTAACCCCAAACCCGAGATGAATAATGGATGAACAAAAATAGCAAAGCCGACATACGTATACATAGATTTATCGTGGTTTATCTTTAATGTAAGAGTTACATTCACTTACTACTATGGATTTTTCATTAAAATTGAGAAGAAGTGTAAGATAGAGATCCCACGCTTCTATTGTTTTTGCACCACCCCGAAACCTCAGGCTCCTTTAATGATTGTAGAAATCTAGGTCGACATGCGATTTGGGATAAGTGAAAAATATAGCTCTTGTTTGGTGGGAGATTAAAATCACATTTTTATTAAATTTTAATAAAAGTTGATGAAATATAGTTGAAAAGTTGTATGTCTCATGAAATATATGATTAATATTAATTATTGACTTTGACTTAAATTAAAATCTAGATTTAAGTCCTATAAAACTGGGCCATAATTATTCTAAACATTTTAAGAATAGGTACTTCAGTGTAACTTTTATGAGACTCTATTTGATTCTTAATAAGTGGGGGGATTTCCTTTGTAGTCCTTTATGTTACTTTCGAGTGTAATTTTCCTATTTTTGCATTTCATTCCTAATGGAATGAAAGACGTATAAATGCAGTTGTTAGGTGCCAAAACTAAGTGACATTTGTGTTGAAAATTACGGCAAGTTAGAATTATTTCAGCTCAACAATTCATATCTTGATTTCATGATTATCTCATACAACAATTTAAAATAAATTTTAATTTCGTGTTTATAACAAGGGTATTTTACTGCGATATATTATTTCTACATCGTTGTGTACAAATTTAATTAATTTTTAAATACTACGTTGTTATGCATAAGTAGAAAATGCTCATATTGTTGGTTTGGAAGTGGTTGTCATTTGAAAAGTTTCTATACCTTATGAATGGATACAATGCATCCTAGTTAATTCCCATCTCATATTATGATGTTTCTCACTTTTGACAATTCACTTTTCAACTATAAAAGGACTAAAAACCCTCCAAAAATGACAATTTCCTTTATGTTTATGCATGTACTATAATAGAGAAAACGAAGAAAACTTTATTGAAATAGTAACAGAAACGTAGAAAATCAAATTTGATTGAAGCAAGTGTTGACCTCATTTTCAATTAGGGCCACTTGGACAATAGACGTCGACCCCATTGGCGTACACGTAAGCTGATTCCAACACACTAGGAATAACCAATGGTCAAGAACTCTCCAAAAGACGAGGCTTGGGAGCAGTTACTTAACGCGAGACAAACATGTTTGGAATCCAACGATATGTTTATGAAACAATTGTACAATAATTACTAATCGCAATGAATCAATGTAATATAAACTCAATTGTCTTGCAAGAGAGAATAAAGTGGAGTGTTATTATGTATTCAATGTTCCATTACCTTGCATGGGAGAGTATTTATAGTGATACAAGTGAAATAGTGACCCTTAGATGTGGATACATATGGCCTCATCTCCTTATTTCATACGTCCAATTCTAGGTATCATTTTTGACTTTCTAGCTTGCTCATTTATTATCCATGCAGAGCTGCCATTTTGTTGACAAGACTTGACACTTACAATCTATGACAAATATCCTATCAGTCATTTGAATAAGATATTTGTGTAGAAGCGAATCTCTTGGAAACAGTGATAGTGGAAGGTGTTTCGAAGGCTTCGGCCTTGACGTCATGGGCTTCGGAGGCTACCACCTCGGTCCACTGTGCTTCGGACTTATGATCTTGAGTGGGCTTCGGACACGTTGCATTCCGCTTTGGCTACAATGCCTCGACCACTGCGCGGTGTGCTTTGGCTTGAATGGGCCACACAGGCCGACTCGGGCTTTGCCCGGTATCCCAAAATGGGGCTCGACCCGGTCTCGAGTCGAGCCAAGCCACGGGCGGCCCAATTCGACGAGCTCGATTGCCATCCCTAACCTAATGCAACATGTGCTTGTGATGTCTATTGATTCGAAAAAAATATTACTTGAGCTTGTTATAGGCAAACTGGGTATGCGTTCAATGACTGATGCCACCACAAAGGATTGGTTGGAAGCATCCCTTCCATACACCAATATATATGACCGGAACTCATTACAAACATTGTTGACCCATCATCAACTATAGAAGAGGATCTTCTCGAGGACGTGTGGGCAATGAAAATTGTTGCTAGTTCTTGCTTTAATCCCAAGTCTACGAGGAGGCCTCTAATGAGATACATTCTTAAAGCATTGGAAAATCCTATGAAGGTGGTAGAGAAGAAAACTCAGGATCTGCGTGGCATAGAACGAAGTCCCCTAGAGGATCGTGGAATGCCGCTTTATTTGACAACTGGTGGCCATGCCAGCCACTCCTAATAAAGTGGAACGAATGAATAGTTTTAAATAGTTGGGAACAACAGGTTCCCAAGGAAGTGGTCAAAATGGTGATGAAAACGATTCGTCTATGGATGCACAGGATATAGAGAAAGCTCATGAGGAGCGAACGGAATGAGATTTATTAATGCTTTTCAATAACGAAGCAGTTTCCGAATTGGGATTTTCTTGTTTGTTGTTACACATTACCAGGTTTTAGCTGGTGGGTGGTTCTTCTTGAGGAAGAAGATGAAGTGTGGGGAGATAGGGTAGGGTAGGGTGTGGTGGGGTAAGGTGGGTGTTTTTAAAATTATTTTATATGGAATAATATAAATTTACCATTTAACCATTTCAAAATTGATGAAAAAGATGAATTTTCAAAGGTTTGAGTGTGGCACAAATAAAACGTTTGGGTATAATTTGGGGAAAAAAAATTGGGATCGCAACTTCAATTATTCCTTTTTAATTTGACCATCTTTACTGTTTTTAACATCTAAACTAGCGAAATTTGACGATAGGGAAGTCTTCAGCACCTCAAAGGTCATACAGGGGTTTTTCGTCAATATGAAAAGAGAGGGGTTATTGTGCAATAAGGTAAATGGTTAGGAGGGTTTTGTGTTAATAAACTAATTTTATTTTATTTTTCTGTAATTGATCTTTATAATTGGTTATATTGTGAAATGTAAATGATGATAATGTCTATGCTTCTTTTTTAGGTGGAAGAAGAAAAGAAAAAGCTTTTTCTGGATTTAAATTGATTTATTTATTTTTATTTATGCTGTTTGAACATGGTTTGGGGACGGGGTTTTCAACACAACACTTGCGTGGCTCCTTTTCTTTCATTTTTTTTAAAAACAGTCCGATAAAATATTGACACGTGTCACCCAATTTTAAATCATGTCACTCTCCTTGTTTATGTAACAAATCTCTTATTTGTTAAGATTCCTCGTCTCTGTTTTTGAACTAGCCCAATGCTTATGGATTTGCTAAAGTGAATTAGGCGTTGGTATGTGTCAAAATTGAGGATCTCAAGAGTCTTAAGCCACTTATACGGGATCGTATCAGACAAGACTAAGAAGAAAAAGAAATGTTTGGGGATTTTACTACAGCATATGCTAACAGCAAATAGGTAAGCATCGGTTGTTGTTTGTGAAAACATGTGTTATATTTAGTTATTTACTTATATTTAGTTATTTATTTTAGCATAATATGTAATTTCCATTTATTGTAAGTTTCCTATTATTTTTAGGTTTCCTTGTAGTAGTATAAAACCTGTTTTATACTTTCTTTGAAAACTTAATTGATGGCTTAATAGATTTTGGTTCCCTCTTTATTCTTCTTCTCTTTCTCTTCTCTTTTCTTCCTTTTGAATTGATTCAACATATTGGTTTGAGATTCATTATATTGTTATCATGGTATCAGAGCTTATAATTGAGTTAAAATTTGTGAAATTTCTGTTTGGGTCGTGCTGAAATCAAGATAGAAATCAGGCAAAGAAAGTTTGTATGAAAAACCTATTCGACAGCAACTTAAAATCAAGATTCCGACCAAACTGGAGATCCATTAAGAAAACGGAGACCAGATCCTTGTTCAGCAGGTTGAGACGAAACGTCCGGTCAGGCGCGTGTCGGTGTTTGGCGGCGCGTGGCGGTGGCGCGTGAGGACCACGCGCAGAGGCCGTGGTGGCGCGTGAAGGCGCGTGAGTGGTTTTTTCGGGGTTATTCCAAAAGGCAGTTTGTTCCTTGGTAAATTTCTGATCTTTTGGTGGATTAATTTGGTTATACGTATACTGTGCAGTATATTTTAACTATAGTTTGTGGAAGTACGTTGGTTATTGTTGGTATTTATTGACTTTATGATGGCTACTGAAAGAGATGATTCACTTCAATCCATTAGTGTCAGACTAAATGGTAAAAATTACTCGTATTGGAGTACAGTGATGAGAAATTTTTTAAAGGGAAAAAGATTATGGGGCTATGTTAGCGGAACTATTGTGAAACCCGAGAACACTGCTCAGAATTATGTAACAGAGTTAGATAATTGGGAGTCAAACAATGCGAAAATTCTCACTTGGATTCACAATTCCGTTGAGCAATCTATTGGTACACAATCAGCGAAGTTTGAAACAGCAAAAGAAGTTTGGGAGCATTTTCAAACGTTATACACTAAATCTAACTTTGCAAAATGGTATCAGTTGGAAATTGATTAACGGGCTTTACATCAGAAAGATATGAGTATTCTTGACTTCTACGCTGCTATGAACTCTATCTGGGATGAGCTGGCTCTTACGGAATCAGCAGGACTGAAAGCATGTGAGGAATATATTACTTTTAGAGAGGAGCAGCGATTAGTTCAATTTTTGATGGCACTTCGCAGTGATTTTGAGGGACTCAGAGGCTCTATTTTACATCGCACTCCACTTCCTTCAGTTGATTCGGTGGTTAGTGAACTTGTAGCTGAAGAAATACATTTGAAATCTCTTGCAGGAGAAGTATCTCTTCCTCCATCTAGCACCTCAGTGTTGGCTGTACCTTCTCGACTGTTCACACAGAACCAGAATAAAGGTTATGTGCGAGCTGCTACTGATGAGTGTATCTTTTTTAAACAAAAAGGACATTGGAAGTCTTAATGTCCAAAGCTATTGAAAAAGCAGCAACCTCAATCATACCAGCGATCTTATCATCCCAATGCTAACATAGCTGCCACCATGCCACCTAATGATTTATCCATACTTGGAGCACCACCTTCATCCAATCCCATGTTGACGGACTTAGCAGAGCAGTTTCAGAAATTCTTAGCCACACAACCACATGCTATGTCAGCCTTCACTCATATAGGTTTGTTATCACAGAATCACTCAGGTATTTCTTCCTCATGGATCTTTGACTCAGGTGCTTCCAAACACATGTCGTCTAATTCAAAACTCTTTAATGACTTGCGTCCTTCCAACCCATCTATGTCTGTTATGACTGCTGATGGTACACCATTACCTTTAGCAGGCGTTGGTTCAGTTAATACACATAATTTGTCACTGTCAGATGTCTATTGTGTTCCAGCTCTTACTTTGAATCTTATCTCTATTGGTCAATTGTGTGATTCTGGATACTTAGTTCAGTTTTCTTCTACTGGTTGTCATGTGCAGGATCCTCAATCTCAGAAGCTGATTGGGATAGGCCGTAGACAAGGGGGGTTATATGTTCTGGACAATTTAAGATCATCACACGTTGCAGCCTCTGGTGTTGATTTGTCATCTTTTTCTTTGAATTCATCGTCTTCTAGTTTTTATTTGTGGCATTCTCGCCTTGGACATGTTTCCGCTAGTCGTTTAAAATTTTTAGTTTCTAAGGGTCAATTGGGAAATATACAAACTCATGATATTTCTGATTGTAGTAGTTGCAAATTAGCAAAATTTTCTGCTTTACCTTTTACTCGAAGTATTTCTCATTCTGTTGCACCATTTGATCTTGTTCATTCTGATGTGTGGGGACCTGCTCCAATTACTACAAAAGGAGGGTCTCGATATTATGTGTCCTTTATTGATGATTATAGTCGTTATTGTTGGATTTATCTTATGAAGCGACGATCTGACTTTCTTTCTATTTATCGATCATTTAGAGCACTTATTAAAACTCAACATTCAACTGTAATCAAATGCTTTAGATGTGACTTGGGTGGAGAGTATACTTCATTCGAATTCTCTAAATTGCTTACTCTTGACGGCACAATTCATCAAACCTCTTGTGCTAATACCCCACAACAAAATGGTATTGCTGAACGAAAGCATAGGCACATTGTGGAAACTGCTCGTTCACTTCTTTTATCTGCCAAAGTTCCCAGTGAGTTTTGGGGAGAAGCAGCTCTTACTGCTGTTTCTTTAATTAATAAGATTCTATCTTCCCACAATTCAGGTTTATCACCCTTTGAAACATTGTATGGGCATCCTCCGGATTACTCCTCATTGAGAGTCTTTGGTTGTACTTGCTTTGTTCTTCGTCCTGAAGTTGAACGTAATAAGTTGACATCTCGGTCTGCTATTTGTGTTTTCTTGGGTTATGGGCAAGGGCAAAAGGGTTATCGTTGTTTCGATCCCATTAATAATAAATTATATGTCTCTCGTCATGTCGTGTTTTTTGAGCACATTCCATTCTTCTCCATTTTTGATAGTACTCATAACGTGACCAAAACCGATCTCATTTATATTGATCCATTCTCTGATGATATAAACAATTCACCTTCCCATACCCCATGTACTATTGATTCTTCATGTCCTGCAGGTACACATGCTTCAGATCATGCTACCCCTTCTCCTTCTATGGCTTCCCAAGCACCGCCTGAGATTGTTGATCCAACTCCTGCTTCATCTCTTCCTCGTTATTCTCAACGTATTCGTAAGTCCACTCAGTTACCTGATTTTGATTATTCTTGTTATTCTGAGTCCTTTTGCTATCTTCTAACATCCATTCATAAGTTAGTTGAACCATCTTCCTATAAAGAAGCTTTTTTGGATCCTCTTTGGCAACAAACTATGGCTGATGAACTTTCTGCTCTACATAAGACAGACACTTGGGACTTGGTTGAATTGCCTTCAGGTAAACATACTATCGGTTGTCGTTGGGTTTATAAGATTAAAACCAAATCTGATGGTTCGATTGAACGCTACAAGGCTAGATTGGTTGCTAAAGGTTTTAATCAACAGTATGGTTTGGATTATGAGGAGACTTTTGCTCCTGTTGCCAAGATGACCACTGTTCGTACACTTATTGCAGTTGCATCTGTTCGTCAGTGGAGTCTCTCTCAATTGGATGTTAAAAATGCCTTTTTAAATGAAAATCTTCAAGAGGAGGTTTATATGGTTCCTCCTCCTGGTCTTTCTCACACTCCTGGATTTGTTTGTAAACTCAAGAAGACACTTTATGGCCTCAAACAAGCACCTCGTGCCTGGTTTGAAAAATTTTCCACTGTTGTTAGCTCTCTTGGTTTTACATCCAGCCATCATGACTCCGCTTTATTCTTTAGATGCACTTCAGCTGGTCGCATTCTATTATTGCTATATGTTGACGATATGATTATTACTGGTGATGATATTGATGGAATTGCAAGTTTGAAATCAGAATTGGCTTGTCGTTTT